ATATATATACATATACATACATACATACGTATATATACACACACATACAGACATACAGACATACACACACACACATATATATATATATATATGTATGTGTGTGCGTATGTATATATATATATATGTGTGTATATATTTTCTGGCGTTCGTGCTGCAATCTGCTGTCAGTTCGTTCTCTGTATCTGCTACTTCCTGTTTTTTCTGGATGATTCTGACTTTACGAGTGTGACGAGAAGAGCTCGATCAATCAGTTTTGGTGCCAATATCAATCGCCCCTTATCCGGTGTCATTGAACTTCACCGTATTTTAGCTTTCAAATCACAGTCCCTGTTTAAAAAACCCGGGTACCTATCCGAGAGTCCACACCAACTTATCATGTCCCAATGCAAATATATCCCACGCTTCATATACTAGTTGTCGTAGAGGTCACAATATCGCTTTCCATCATACATATCTATTTGCGCGTTAGTTTCGCATTGAGCTGTTCGGAGTTTATCCATAACTCGGGTGAAGTGCATTAACATGAGCTAGCCGTTCAGTATTTCAGAATCCGACACAAATCGACATTGGTTGTGTCTTTCGCAAGGTTTGCAGTTTGTATCTAGTTGATATTTATTCATCTAGACTCACCGTAAAAGCCATCGGTCCCGGTCATGAGTTGCGGGTAACCAAATTATTGAAAACCACGTGGGTTCGCAGGCAAATTGTGAAATAATTGTACGCACAACAAAGTGGTCCACTGCAGATTGTATTATCATGTCCTCACTTTTGTTTTTTGTCATTAGCATAATCTCCTGAATGGCGTTAAGTGGCTATATCGCATAGTATTTCGCGTTGTATGCAATGTTTGTTGATTTCGGTACTTTACTAGAGACGGCGTCGATGGCGACATTAGAATAATTTAGTTGCTTTTGCCTAGCTCTTTGGCCTTATCCGTGGCGGCTGTGACAGCTTTGATGACGCACGCCCTGCAGCATAAATCGATAAATAAATTTAGAACAAATGAGTTTATCGAAGACGATCTCACTGTACATAAGTAAGCAGGTCCAGCGTAGCAAAACCACTTTGTGAGGAGCGAATGAAAGCAGGGACTGTATCCACACGACGAAGCATGTGTACAGGTACATAACCAAAAACAAATTAACATTTGATTGTGAATCTAACTTCGCTGTTTATTATGTACAATACAACACGTGATAGTCTAGAATATTTAACACTTGGTGTAGTATTAATGCAAGCCTACATGTACAATACAACACGTGATCGTCTAGAATATCTAACTTTTGGTGTAGTATCACTGCAAGCCTACTGTGCCTGGTTGCAGTGCGTTCGTTGCGCTAGCAGGGTCACTGAGAAACCACCCCCACCCATCCCAACAACTCCCAGAATCGTTTGCTACATACCTCAGCCCCTCTTTCTCGAGTGTGCTAGTGCCAGACACGGTTGTGCCTGCGGGTGATTCTACATTGTTTCGCAGTTGAGCGATGTGTACATCTGGGTTCTCGAGAACCATCTTAGCCGCACCAAACACCGTCTGTGCCGCCAAGGCCCTCGAGGTTGCTCGGTCCAACCCCTGGAGAGTGTACATTTGAGTTTATATTTGAGGATCACAGAATGATGGTTTGTCTCTGATGGTTCGCGGAAAGGACTACGCTATACAGTGGACGGATTTGCGCTGGCGTCTCTTTTGCTTTTGCACATGCGAATGTATACGCTGAAGAGTAATCAGGAGTTTTGTATATGAATATCTCATATTCAATCAGGCGAAGTTGTGACAGCCTAGTATGATCAAACTAATCACAGAAGAGGTGTGTTTGTAGCGAGTGTGCGGAATAAAGCTTTCGACGAACCTCAGGAAGAAGTAAATAGGATCAGCTTTGAAGGTATCAGCGAAAGTATGGTATCTTGAATATAACATACATTGACAACCCCTGCATCACCCAAGGCCTCGATGAACATGTACACGTAAGCTGGGCCGGATCCACTCACTCCAGTGACAGAATCAATCAGATTCTCGGCCACTTTCTTGACCACGCCAATTGAGCTTAGAAGCTGTGATTCGAATTGATTGTGTAGAGTTTAGACAATTGTGAGCGTATTCAAACTATCCGACTTTATTGACAGCTGACATACATGATAACCGCAACAACATACCAGAATATACGTGTACGCTAATATACCAGAATATACGTGTACGCTTATATACCAGAATATACGTGTACGCTAATATACCAGAATATACGTGTACGCTAATATACCAGAATATACGTGTACGAAGTGATGTCAACCCTCCATATGCTCTATTATTGCGAGAGGCTGTATCAAGAAAAGAGCTTTAGGTAGTGGAATTCAGCGGACACACAAACAAAAACATCTGGTCGCGGAAATTGCAATGCGTGTGTAAGCCGATATACAAGTACGCCTACAATTTATACTCTGGGTCTGGACTACCCATGCTGAATATTTAGCGTACCTAGCTTTACATATAAACATTAATCAGTGTGGAGAACTGGTCCAAGAACTTTGTCGCTTTACAGCAATGAATGTACCACCAAAATCTCGTGAATCGTACGTGCTTTTCCAGACAAACTTGCACACGATAAGTGGCACTCTGTATCTGAACACGGTCATCAGATTTAACGTGTGGTTACATTACTACACAAAACTGCATACAATGGATTTGTGCTGAAGGGGGCATTCGTGACTTAGATCAGGACCACACTTCGACCAGAGTGGCGAAAGTGGCTTTCAGGAACGATGTTTATACATCCAGCCAACCACATCCACGTGTACTCCAGACAGGAATTGCCCTATGCAACGAACGCCAATATCCGCTCAAATGTGTACAGGCCCGTTGAAATAATATAGCTTTTGCCTACAGAGTTATACAAAGTACTTTGCAACACACCTTCTCAACGAGCTCGCCATCGGTATCGGCGCACTTCGGTGATAGGGCGTATCCACACGCTGTTTTTAAGAGAAAAAGGGTACGCGTGTACGCGAATATAAGTGGCGGCGATTGGTTGAGATTTTAGTTTCAGGTGTAGTGCGTGCTCACAATGCGCTACAGAAAACACATAACAACGCTACAAACTTACGCACAACGATTTATTCTAGAAGCTGCCAGATATAAGTAAGGAAATTGTACCGTGTGTGTGGTCCCTCAGATATAGATATATGGGTGTTCTGTGTGCACCTCCGAAACAGGTATATGCAATTGCTTTACACAGACATTCATCTTGAGAGCACTACATACCTCCAGCGCCAACAAGACTGGGAGTATTGGGCATGACTCGAGCACACCGACCGTATCCATTCAAGACTGAACTGAGTGTATCAATCGTGACCCCGGCCATAACCGAGATAACAAGCTGGAGGAGTCAGGAATAGCGTGTAACGTTTTAGTCACTGAGAATCTGACGAGTGCTTGTAGATGCGGGGGTACGTTTAAAAATGTATGACTCATCGCTCAGCAGAAAGCGATAGTGCACACACATCCGTGTACATCGACGTACATGTAGATGCGCAAATGGTTGCAACGGAATATGCGATCGAACACATTCATGAGACTCACGCACACCACACAAGTTTAATCGAACAAATCGAAGAAAGGTTACTATCAAGAAAGTCACAAGAGCATCATGGCAGCAATAGCACATACCGGGTTCCCTTTTTCGGAGACAATACTGTTTATCTCCTCGCTCACCGGTTTCACCATGTACGGTTTCACGCAGTAAATGATGATATCAGCACCTTTCACTGAACTTTTATTGTCCCCCACAACGTGGTTTACTTTCAATTCCTTGTATGTGTTCTCGGTACGCTTAGACGGTGTTGATACGGTGATCTAAGCGGCAAAAGTATATGTAAGAAGTTCAGGAACGTTTAGTATTAAAGGAAGTGCACATATATAGAACAAGGTACGGCTGTAAACAAGACAAACCGAAGATCCGATACTGATAATATCCAAATGTTCAGCACTTTTACCAAAAATAAATAAAATTGTAATGCAACAGCTCGTTCCTGGTCCAGACTCTACCACTGAATACTGTGCAGGTAGATCACAGATCACCACACTATAGCCACCTGTGTATATACACAGATATTGGTATTATAAACACTCATACTCGTGTATGGGGTTGGGTTCGCAATTTTCTGCGAAAATGTATCACCCTGGAAAACCTTGTGTATATTCCCAACCAACAGCGCAAGTCGCTTGCAATGTAGCAAGATCGACCACCCATCGAGCTACTTTTTAGCTCTAACTTAGGATAAAACACGAATCATGCCGTCCAGTATAATCAGTCACTGATGCATAATCGAGAATCTTCTCGCTTCTATTCCATCAATCGAGGCGACACAACTCCATATTCACCTCGGCTGACATAAATATTCGCCATCCGTAACAACCTCAAAGCCCTCCACTATAACGCAAACCGAACCTATACATAGACGACCCCACAAAATTTGTTAGAAACAAAAACAGAGAACGATAGAGTGGATGTGAAAATACAATCTCGAACACAAAATACAATCTCGATCAGGACCGACACTTACCTTCTTTGGGTCGATGCCGCCATTGTTGATGAAACCGCGTACCATGGCTTCGCACATGTTGCCGCCGCCAAGAAATGTGATTTGAAGCTGACTGATATCCATGATGGCTGATTATGTTATCGATGTGTGTGTGTAGTGATAAGTTTGTGGTGTGTGGTGTGTGCGGGTATAAATGTATTGAAAAGTGCGTGCGTGTTTATGTACAGATTATAATTTTCATAGCCTTCTCCTTCTCTTGTATTGTAATTTTCTCTATAAAAAAAATATTTGTTTACTTCTTCCAAAAAGCTTTTTGACTGAGTTTGTATAACACATGCCGTCACATGATGATCGCCCGCCAAAACCACAAAAAAAAAGATGATCATAGCGAATAATTTTGATTGGTGTATGGAGCTCTCTTCTTGTGTGATATTTGGTTGTTTTTGTTTTTAAAAAACAAAAACGTAGTCACACAGGTTTAGCTAATAAAACAAAGCCATGAACCCTTGAAGCTGATACACCTCACATGCTCACACTCCGTCTCACACTCGCCTTTATACAGACACTGCAGTCTGCACAGTGACTTACACTTTAATATATGTTTGGGGTCGGCACCCAACCTTCCTGTCATCTGCGGCTCGATCAAACCCCGTTCTTTAAAGGCTTTATTACAAAAGTGTTATCGTTTGAAATAAATCAGCAGTACCACACCCAACACCACTACCGTACGTTGCGTACAAACATTATTTCTCTTCTGTAGCCTCCAATACACGCCTGAATTTCCTCGCCCTGGTATGTTCAAGTGAGTATTTACAGCTTATATGCTGACACTCTGATCGGATTCAGCGCGGTTGCTTCAGTACCCATTAGCCAGTGTTTAGGAATATATCTTGGCAAGTTTACTTCGAACGAGATTAAGTTGATAATACGCAGAAAACTGTATGTATACATGGGCGTGCATATCGACAAGATTTTAGAA